TCGCTTTATGTTGTTTGAGCGCGTTTGAGCTGATTTTAATTCCTGTTTTTCCCCATTTCACATGTTAGTTTGGATCTTTTCCATTGAATAAAATCGAATAAAAGACTTCATTTGAATAACATTTTTTTTTTTCCTGTTTTATTTATTATTTATTTATTTTTCTTCGAACAACATTTTAATACATATATATTTTCTTATAAATTTGAAGGCATGGAAAACAATCATGGATCCCCTCGTCTTGGGAGAATTGACGAAGATATTTGTCTTGCGGATAGTGCAACTACGCACACAATTCTTCGAGATAAAAAATATTTTCACAATTTACATTTATCAAAAGCAAAGGTAACTACCATACTAGGTTCTGCAAACCTAATTGACGGTTCTAGAAGAGCTCAATTTTTTTTACCCCAATGGGACTAATTCTCCATTGATAATGCTTTGTACTCTTTGAGATCGAAAAGAAATTTACTCAGCTTTAAAGACATTCGAATGAACGGGTACCATATTGAAACTAGAAATGATAATAATGTGGAGTATCTTTGCATTACCACTAATATCAACAGCTAGAGGCGTATATTGGAAACACTTCCTGCTTTCTCTTCTGGGTTGTATTGTACAACCATCAAAGCAGTTGAAGTCCATGCTATCATGAATCAGAATTTCATTGACCCAACGACCTTCATGCTTTGGCATGATCGTCTTGGGCATCCTGGATCCACAATGATGCGTAGGATTATTTCTAATTCAAATGGACATCCTTTAAAACCTTACCATAGCACTTTGTCCATTGACCAGTCTTGCAAAGCTTGCTCTTAAGGGAAATTGATCATTAGACCTTCTCCGTCAAAACTTGACTTTGAATGTCCATCTTTCTTACAGAGAATTCAAGGGGATATTTGTGGGCCAATTCACCCATCTTGAGGACCATTTCGTTATTTTATGGTTTTAATCGATGCATCTACAAGATAGTCACACATTTGCCTATTGTCAACTCGTAATGTTGCTTTTTCTAGGCTCCTTGCTCAGATAATTAAATTACGAGCACAATTCCCTGATTATCCAATAAAGTCAATTCGACTTGATAATGCTGGTGAGTTTACCTCCCAAACTTTTGATGCCTAGTGCATGTCACTTGGGATTGATGTTGAGCACCCAGTTCCCCATGTCCATACTCAAAATGGATTAGCTGAATCTTTTATTAAGCGTCTCCAGCTTATTGCTCGCACTTTGCTATTGAAGACAAAGTTGCCAATTTCTGCTTGGGGACATGCAATTTTACATGGAGCATCCTTAGTCCGCTTGAGGCCCGTTACCCACCACCAATTCTCCCCTTTACAACTTGCCTTTGGGAGACAACCCAATATATCACATTTAAGGGTATTTGGTTGTGCAGTTTATGTGCCAATTGCACCCCCACAACGCACTAAAATGGGTCCTCAACGTCGATTGAGAATTTACATTGGTTTTGATTCACCAACTATCATTCGTTATCTCGAACCTATGATAGGAGATACTTTTACAGCACGTTTTGCGGACTGTCACTATGATGAGACATTCTTCCCGTCGTTAGGGGGAGAAAAGACCGTTCTTGAAGAACGGCGAGAATTGGGTTGGAACATATCCATTATGTCTCATCTTGACCCTCGTACAACTCAGAGTGAAAATGAAGTACGAAAAATTGTCCACCTTCAGCAAATTGCTAATCAAATGCCAGATGCATTCACTGATACAGGAAAAGTGACAAAATCACATATACCTGCAGCAAACACACCAGCAAGGATTGATATCCCAATCGGATTAACCAATGTTGCAGCAAATGAATCATCTACTGCACGCCTGAAGCGAGGTAGACTCATTGGTTCCAAGGACTCAACTCCTAGAAAGCGAAAATCGATCCCAATCCCAATGGAAACGCTAATGAAGATATTATTGGGAAAGAGATTCACCTTGAATCTACAATTCATCCGGAGAATGAAAGTGTCATTGAAAAGACACAAGCCACTGAAGAGGAAAAGATACCTAATATAGAAATTTCTGTAAATTTCGCATGCAATGATGAATTATGGGACCGTAGTGAAATGGTTATCGATGATATTTTCTCTTTCGCAGTAGCTGCTGAGATTATAAAAGGTCATGAAGATATTGAACCACGATTTGTTGATGAATATAAAGGAAGGCCTGATTAGCCAAAGTGGAAAGACGCAATCCAAGTTGAGTTAAATTCCATGGAAAAACGTGGCGTATTTGGACCTGTGGTTCAAACACCACAAGGTGTAAAATCTGTGGGATATAAATGGGTGTTCACAAGAAATCGTAATGAGAAAAATGAGATTGCAAGGTATAAGGCATGACTCGTTGCGCAAGGTTTTTCTCAAAGGCCTGGGACTGATTATGAAGAAACATATTTTCCTGTTATAGATGCAATTACGTTCCGTTATTTAATAAGTCTTGCAGTTTCAGAAAAACTTGACATGCGTCTTATGGACGTTGTTACTGCATACTTGT